TTGAACTAGGTATGATGATACCGACGATCGAATCTCGGGCAAGTAACATACCGATGACAAAGAGAACAATGTATGTTGTTATGCGGTTTGACCGATAAAGATCTTCGTAGAATATGTAGGAGCCAATATGAGCATCCAGGTTCTGCTATTGGTTATTGACCGGAGATGAGTCTCGGTCATGTCTACATAGTTCTCGAACCCGTAGGGTCCGCACACTTAACGTTTTGTGACGATTTGTATTATGAGTTATGTGATTTGATGACCGAAGTTTGTTTGGAGTCCTAGATGAGATCGGGGACATGACGAGGAGTCTCGAAATGGTTGAGACGTAAAGATCGATATATTAGAAGGCTATATTCGGACATCGGAAAGGTTTCGAGTGATTTGGGTATTTTTCAAAGTACTGGAGAGTTACGGGAATTCGTATTAGGCCTTAATGGGCCATACGGGAAACGAGAGAAAGGCCTCAAGGGTGGTCACACCCCCTTCCCCATGGACTGATCCAAATTGGACTAGGGAAAGGGGGCGCCCCCTTCCTTCCTTCTCCTTCTCCCTTCCCTTTTTCCTATTCCATGTGGGAGGTGGAATCCTACTAGGACTAGGGAGTCCTAGTAGGACTCCACACTTTGGGCGCTCCCTATGAGGGCCGCCCTCTTCCTCCCTCCATCCTTTATATACGTGGGCAGGGGGCACCCCATAGACACACAAGTTGATCATTGATCTCTTAGCCGTGTGCGGTGCCCCCCTCCACCATAATCCACCTCGGTCATATCATAGCGGTGCTTAGGCGAAGCCTTGTTCCTGTAGTATCATCATCATCGTCATCACGCCATCGTGCTAACGAAGCTCTCCCTCGACACTCTGTTGGATCGTGAGTTCGTGGGACTTCACCGAGCCGAACGTGTGCAGATCACGAAGGTGTCATACTTTCGGTACTAGGATCGGCCGATCGTGAAGACGTACGACTACATCAACCGCATTGTCATAATGCTTCCACTTATGGTCTACGAGGGTACGTGGACAACACTCTTCCCTTCTCGTTGCTATGCATCACCATGATCTTGCGTGTGCGTAGGAAAATTTTGAAATTACTGCGTTCCCCAACATGCAGTGCGTTCGGTACTTGATCGGTTGAATCGCGAAAAAGTTCGACTACATCAACCGCGTTAATAAAATGCTTCCGCTTATGGTCTACGAGGGTAGGTAGACACACTCTCCCCTCTCTTAGCTATGCATCTCCATAGATAGATCTTGCGTGTGCGTAGATTTTGTTTTTGTTTTTCCATGCAACGTTCCCCGACATGCATGTGCCATGTAGGTATGTACCCACTATAAATGGTACGCGGTGTGAACTGAGAAGATTCCAGATCTATTTGGCCGCCTTGCAATAAAGTCCTCAAAAGCATTATAGTTTAAATAGTTTGGATCAATTCCTCATCCCATGCTCCTTGCACCAGATCAATCAACTCACGGACTTTAGTCAAAATCGTGTGTCCTCTAGGGGTGATTATCTTCCTGTCAGTGCTCGAAGGGACCCAAGTGTCACTCCATATGTTAATATCTTCACCCATTCCGACCCTTCAGTTATAGCCTTTTTTGAAATTTTCCAATCCCTTCAGTATACTTTTCCATGTAAAGGACGCCCCGCTCTTCGAGGTGGCATCAAGAAAGCTCCCGTTGGGGTAATACTTTGCCTTTAATACCCTTGCACATAATGATGTTGGATCAGTAATCAGCCTCCAACACTGCTTTGCGAGCATAGCCAAATTGAAAGAATATAAGTCCCTAAAGCTCATGCCTTCTTCACATTTAGGAATGCAAAGCTTTCCACCACGCCATCCAATGCATTCTTTTGGTTCTTCATCATCGCCCCACCATAATTGTGCAATAATATATGTTATTTCCTTGCATATACCCTTAGGTAAACTGAATACGGACATAGCAAAAATTGGTGTTGCTTGGGCTAATGCTTTTAAAAAAATTCTTTACCTCCAATTGAGAGCTGCTTCTCCATCCAACCAATTGGTCATGTTATGATTCTCTCATAGAAATGCCCAAAACATTCGCTTCTATTTGCACCTACTATTGTTGGCAAACCAAGATATTTATCTAATAAGGCCTCAGTGTCTATATGTAGGATTTCACATATCCCTGCTCTCGATATCGCACTAGTATTAGGACTAAAGAAAATGCTTGATTTTGCTAGACTCACCATCTATCCATAACTCTGACAATAGGTATCTAGAACATGTTGTAAGGAAGTTGCACTTAGAACATTTGCTCTCATGAGAATTAGAGAACTGTTAACAAATAGGAGATATGATACTGATGGTGCATTTCTACACAATCTAACCCCATCCATGCCACCAACTTCTTCTTCATACTGCAACATACTAGATAACCCTTCTGTTAATAAAAGATAAGGGGAAAGGGGATCTCCCTGCCTAATACCTCTTGAAGGAGTAAACACATCTGTTTCTTGAGAATTGAATCTCACCGTATACCTTACTGAGCTTACACATGCCATTATCATTTTGATCCACTGTTCATGAAACCCAAGTTTTTGCATCATACCTTCGAGGAATATCCACTCCACCCTGACATATGCCTTGTGCATATCCAACTTCACAACACATAAACTTTCTTGTCTTGATTTTTTTGTGCACACATTCATAAGCAATGGGTATATTATCTGTGATCAACCTTTCCTGGGAGAAAAGCACTCTGAGTAGGAGATATTATTTCAGGCAGGATACATTTCAACCTTGAAGCTAACATCTTTGAGATGATATTATATAAAACGTTACATAGACTAATAGGTCTATATTGAGTTACCAGGCCAGGTGAACCTGTCTTGGGCATGAGAACGATAGATGTATCATTCCATTTAGCCGGGATATGAGGAGAATTAATAGCAAACAAAACTTCATGTGTAATCTCGTCACCAGGATATGCCATTTTTTTAAAGATCGCATGAAGCCCATCTGGGCCTAGAGCTTGAGATCACCAATACAAAAAACAGCCTTACGAACATCATCATGCGTATACGGAGCCATTAACATATTATTCATATGATCAATAACCTTTGTTTGAACCCTCTCAAGAATATAAGGATCAACATGATGCACCTCTGAAGTAAAAAGGTTACTAAAATAATTCTGAATATGAGAACTCAGTGGCCATACCTTCTACTGCATTACCATTCTGATCATGGAGTTTTCAGATATAGTTCTTTTTTCTTCTTGTCGATGTAAAAGCCTGAAAACAATAGTGTTTCAGCCACCAAATTTTAACCAATTCGCGCTGCATCTCTGCATATAATGAATCTCTACTAGTTCCAGTACATATTCAACAAGTCATTATTTTTTCAACACTCTTTGATCCCAATCATGGAACGCTCTATGCATGAGGTCGAGCTTCTCATGTAATTTATTGCTGTGGGATCGCTTCTATCCTCATCCCAAGCTTCTTGGACTTTCTCATTAAAAGCATTTTCTCGTAAACCAAGGAGCTTCAAGTCTTTTAACATGAACCCCGCCACTTGGTTCCTGTACGTAAAAATTGGTATCAAACAATAACAGCCTGTGGTCGGAGTGGTTATACCCCAAATTCTCCAACGACGCATGAGGATGCATTGTTGCCCAGGTTTTGTTAATGAGGCCTCTGTCAAGCCTCTCGCAAATTCTTTCTCTCTACCAAGTGAAGCAATCACCTTTGTATCCCAAGTCTCCGATCTCACAGTCATCAATGTCCTGTTGAAAGGCATGCATGTATTGTTGGGGTCTAGGATTTCCTCCCTATTTTTCATACAGAAATTATATCTCATTGAGACCCCCAATCAGCAACCATGGGAGAGTATGATTATGATGGAGTTGACGCATATAATCCCATGTTTTATATTTATTCTCCCACCAACATTCACCATATATTCCGGTCAGCCTCCACAAGTTATTGTTTAACTTGTTTTTCTGATGTAAAGGGGAAAATGATTGAGCTCAGTGAGTTGCCGGATGACCTTAACTCTGAGTTGTCAGATGGCATGGGGATTGAGGATCTCGTGTATTGCACACAACTTGCTTCCCCTGGATTTGGTGCAAAAAATGTTGAAGTTGTGGTTTGAATCCCCTAACCCTGTTGTCGCCCTAAACGCTGCTGCCCATGAGGTCGAAACAATGCCTTGAAGTACTTTGAGCGTTATTAATATATGGGATGTCTTCTTTGGGTGTGTGTGTGTGTGGGGGGGGGTGTTTAAGTTTGCTAAACGAAAAGAGAGGTTCATCAGAGCTTAGAAAAACTACCCAATTTAAAACCTCGCAAGCTTAGAGAAACTACTCAATTTAAAACCTCGCATAGTCGGAGGGCGTGTGGAGGTGTGTCTCTAGCTGGTCTCATAGGATTCGATCGGTGATGTCTTTGGTGGATCTGCTTAGATCCGGTCTTTGTCCATCTTCATTCATGTGTCCTCAGATGGGATCCTTCTGATCTACACCTTTCTTCATCGATGGTGGTTGTTGTTCTGGTGCGCTGGCCCTATGAGGCCTCAACACGACGACTTTCAGACTGTCTACTACAACAAGTTTTGTCTGACTCCAGTGAAGAAGGGGCGATGACGGTGGTGCGTCTTCGGCTCACTTCAGTGCTTGTAGTCGTTGTTAGGTGGTTTACGGATTTGGTTGTAATTTTTATTATTTTATATATATGTTCATTGTAGTGCCATTATTTTTTTTGAGCCGATTGTAGTGCCATGATTAAAGATGAGGAAATCACACTTTTTTAAAATAAAAAAAACCCACCCAATTTGAAACCTTGCTAGCTTTCTCTAAAAAACCTCGCGAGCTTTACCGTCGATGGCTACGAGCAAGTCCAGCCCGGCCCACTTCCGCGGGCCATGTTAAAGGCACGGTTTCCAAGGAGAAACATCCTCACTCCCCACAACCCGTCCGCACTCCACCATTCCACCTGCTTCTAGAAGTCTCCAGCGCCTCGCCTCCACCGCGCCAATGGGGAAGAGCGAGGCTACGCCGACGGCGACGAAGGGGGAAGGGGAGAAGGTGATGGTGCTGACGATGCTCGAGGTGGATCCCGCCACCGAGGACCCTGACCTCCTCGACGCCATCAGGTACGCACGCAGATACCAATCGACGCTCCCCCAAGTGGTAACCCACACGCACGCTTCTGCTAGGTCGACGGGGATGGCGAGCGCGGCGGCTTGTCTTTGGTTTCCTCGCGTTTTGATGAGATAAAGGTGGGGTTTTGGGGCTGTCTAGGGTTTGATGGCTTATTGGAGAGGAAATATTCCATGGCTATGGTTCGCGGCTTTTGTTGGGGTTGGATGGAGTTGGTCCAAATGTGTCTAATAGATTCAATCTACTGACTGCTGTGAAATGAGAAATTTGCAGATGATTTGCTGTGTACCCAACCAATGTTAAAAATGTTATGGATTTGTGTACAATTGATGGACTGCCCTTGGAATTTAGTGTCTTGTTGGGTCGACAGACTTAGTCGAATGTCTGTTTTAGGTTGAATCTACTAGTGAAAGATTTCCCTTTTTTTATATAGAAATGACCACAGAAAGAGGTGACTTCTTATACTATCACCAAATGCTGCGCCAAATAGGAGTTAATGAAAATTTTGTAGATGGTCTATCATGTATTCAACCGTTGATTCAAAAACAAATTTAGTGTGTTTGTGTACAATAGGAGAATTCCACACCTTTATCTATTGATGAAGCATTTAAGCATTTTGTTGATTGGGGGCCTTGGGGCATAGCCATTTCATGTTGAACTAGTGTACTCACTTATTTGCTATCGAAATGTTCCTGGTGCAGTTACTTTGCTACTTAGTATTTTGACCTCCCCGTGCATTGCATTGGCATTCTGTGCTCGTCCTAGGACCTCGTAACTGCTGATATTTTGGGTTTTATGCAATTGCACCTCGATGGATCATGGAACTAGGCAATAGGAATCCACTCGGGTTCTTTTTCATTTTGGAGTGTACGTATTCACCCTTTGTAGTCATGGAGCGCAGATTTTGGCTATTTGCCATTAATATTATATCCCTTCGTCCCAAAATATAATAACGTTTTTAACAGTAGCATAGTGTCAAAAACGTTCTTATATTCTGGGACAGAGGGAGTAGCTTGGTTGCTTGTTGCATGCTTAGTGTTTCTCCTAGGAAAGAGTCAGATGATCATAGGCGTTTGCACATGCACACTATTTGTCTGCTAGTTATTTCATTATGGCCTATTAAAAAAGTTTGTTGTGTGCCCTTTCCATTCTTAGGTCTCTCTAGCTGATCCTGATGCTTTGATTCACTTTCCGTGTTTGCCTTTTTGTATTTATGCTGCTGCTTTGACTTGCGATTTTTCAGGAAGAAGAACAGTGCTGCCCTGACCTCCATTCTTGATCCCCGTGGCGACCTCTCCGCCAAAGACAGTTCAAATGCAGCTGCTGCTGTTTGGTATTTCGTCATGAATGGCCACCACATAACTGGCAATTTGAACCTGCTGACGGACCTCACGCCTGTGTGTGACCGTTGGGTCCGTTCTCTCATTGGAACAGGGCCGCCCATGCAAGTCTGCGCACGGGGATCTGTGAACTGCAATGGGATCAAGCTCGATGACGTATGGTATGTTCCCGGGGTCACGGTGAACATGGTGGCGGGTGCCCCTTTTAGCAATCAGGAAATTTCACTCACTCTGGATCGCAGTGCCTTTTCTCTTAAGCGCCCTGATGGCACAGTAGTCGGCAAAGGATGTGTTAAAGGCAATCTGTATGAAGTAGACTTTCTCGACATCAGTAGGTACAGTTACTTGACCAAATGCTTTACTTTACTATGTTTTCTTGGTTATTAAGTTATCCTGGTACACTGTTAGTTTATTGAGCTCTATTCATTGCACTCCGACCCCCTCTTACCTCATAGGGGGTGCTCTAAAGCGCAGTTGCCCATTATGGGAGCACTGAATTTCCAGTTAAATGATACTACATGTCAAGTGCTTCATTCCTTATGAGCTATGCCAATTGGAGGTAGTGCTGCCATGCATGCACAAAAAGAATGGCATCTACATATATCACTTAAGAAGTAATTCTTCATGCTCATCTACCAATTCATGTGTGACATACTAGAAGTTAAGAGACTCGCCATGGTAGCTACATAATTTTTTACAAGTGATGCTGCATATGATTTTACAAATATATGCACTCGCAACTTTGCAAGGAAAAATGGAAGTTTAAGAAACTGCATATTTGACTCATATTTTTGCAATGGTCAGTATAACAGACAATTAGATGTGTGTGTTCTTTGTATGCTTTCCGCAGCATGTATGTCGAGATGACCAGCGCGTGTGGTGGACATCATGTTTTAGAACTAATATTTCAAACATAAACCTAAAATCAGTTTTTTTTTTATTACTTTCATGTATACCTTTGTAGTAGCTGTTTGGTTTGGGTATTGGTATCCTTTTGCCTCTCTATAGGAGGTAAGGGTAATATGGTTGGATAAAGCAAAATTAGAGGTCCATATTACAATTAAAGTGGTCATACCAATACCATAAAATTTCTAGTTTTTTTACAAAGTTGATTATTTGTAGCTGTGCTTGTTTAGAGCTTATGTCCAAATTGTTCACAGTATGATTTAGTTACTCTACTGACTTGTTATTTTAAAAATAGTCTTGCTACTCTGATGGTTACCTACAGCGTTCGGTTGGTATTCATCGACTCCTTAATCATCTACTTCCTCCGTTTCAAAATAAATGTCATGGTTTTAGTTCCAAATGCGGGAAATAGGGCTAATGTTTTCTCCTGTGTCTGATCAGTACAACAGCTCCCTGGTACATTGTCTCGAATGCTGCTGAACACATGACCGGCAACCTGCACCTCCTGAGCAACTTCACCCCCACCCAGCCAGGCCGCCCAGTCCGGACGCACACCGGTGGGATGCTGCAGGTGCGCGGGAAGGGGTCTCTGAGCTCCACCCAGCTCTCCATTCCCAGCGTCAGCTACGTCCCAGGGCTCACGGAGAACATCATCTCAGTGACCCAGCTCACCGACAGCGGCTTCAGTGTCGCGTTCAGTCCCCATGGCTGCAACATCACAAGGAACCGCGATGGGAAGACGGTCGGCTCCGCATACCATGCCGGTGGCCAGCTCTACCGACTCGACTACCTCAGGGTTGCTGACAACAAGTAGCCTGTATGAGTTGCTGACAGACATAGTGAACCCAAAGCAGTGAGGTAATCAGCCCTATGAGTTGCGAAGATGAAGAGAGAAATTTAGTTGCGAAGAGCTTTTTTTGGCTGCAAACAAGTTGTTAGCTGGTTTCCTGTATGAAAACCTCCTGGGTGCTTCGGTTAATGTTCAGTTACGATCCTGATACTTGCTACTATGTCTGTATGGGCAATGGGATATTACCGCTAACCAGTTAGCATGGTAGGGTTTCTGCATTTACCATTTTTTTTCTTTTTTATCGAAAGGGGGTTATCCCCCGGCCTCTGCATCAGAACGATGCATATGGCCATATTATTAATATGCAAAAAGTTTGACATAAGTCTTCAGGTCTCAAAAATAGGAAATAGGCTCACAAAGAGCAAATAAAATAACAGGATAGCCACACCCGGCCGGCAAAAAATAAGACAGGAAATATTAAACGTCTATTATATTACATGACCGTCATCCAAACCGGTTGAAGATAGCATGTGCAACCGTCTTTTATCGAATAGATCCAATAATCATACGCTACCTGGCCTCTGTCGAAATGAGTAGCGACCACATATGGATCAGTGCAGTGGCCCGGAAAATAACCTGTAAGAAATGAATATTTGTTGTTATGTTAAAAACTAAATTGTTTCTGCAGTTCCAAACTGCCCATAATAAAGCACATACTCCTACACGGATATGTCTTGCTTTTTCTGAATCTATCCCGTCTAGCCACGTCTCAAATAACGTGTTGATAGTATTCGAAGGAGTAATATTAAATGCTATGTGGACCGACCGCCATAATTTTTTTGCCAATGGCAGTCAAGAAAGAGGTGTTTGATGGATTCATCACGATCACAGAAGCTACTTTCTGTAGATCCTGTCCAGTTGTGTTTTGCCAAATTGTCCTTAGTTAGAATGACTTGTTTACGGACAAACCACGTAAACACTTTAACTTTTAAAGGCACTTTGACTTTCCAAACATGTTTCGAACGAGGAATAGAGCTAGAGTTGATAACATCCAAATACATAGATTTAACCAAAAACTCTCAATTCTTAGTTAGTTTCCAGCGCAACTGATCGGGTTGTTGAGATAGCTGAACATCCATCAATCTTCTCACAAGATGAAGCCAGGCTTCCCAACGGTTTCCCGCTAGCGTCCTCCTGGATTGAATATTAAGAGGATTGGATTGTAATATTGTTGCAAGGTAAGCGTCTCTTCGCTGAACAATATTATAGAGAGAAGGATATTGGAGTGCAAGGGGCGTCTCCCCTAGTCATGTATTGTGACGCCCCCGATTCAATCGTACACTAATCATACACACAAACGAGTACGGTCAAGATCAGGGACTCACGGTAAGATATCACAACACAACTCTACAAATAAAATAAGTCATACAAGCATCATATTACAAGCCAGGGGCCTCGAAGACTCGAATACAGGAGCTCGATCATAGACGAGTCAGCGGAAACAACAAATATCTGAGTATAGACATAGGTTAAACAAGTTTGCCTTAAGAAGGCTAGCACAAACTGGGATACAGAACGAAAGAGGCGCATGCCTCCTGTCTGGGTTCCTCCTAAACTACTCATGGTCGTCGTCAGCGGGTTGCACGTAGTAGTAGGCACCTCCCGAGTAGTAGTAGTCGTCATCGACAGTGGCGTCTGGCTCCTGGACTCCAACGTCTGGTCGCAGCAATCGGGTATAGGAAAGGGAAAAATGGGAAGCAAAGCAACTGTGAGTACTCATCCAAAGTACTCGCAAGCAAGGAGCTACACTACATATGTATGCATTGGTATCAAATGGAAAAGAGGGTAACATATGTGGACTGAACTGCAGAATGCCATAATAAGAGGGGGATAGCTAGTCCTATCGAAGACTACGCTTCTGGCCACCTCCATCTTGCAGCATGTAGAAGAGAGCAGAATGTAAGTCCACCAAGTAGCATCGTGTAGCATAATCCTATCAGGCGATCCTCCCCTCATCGCCCTGTGAGAGAGCGATCACCGGTTGTATCTGGCACTTGGAAGGGTGTGTTTTATTAAGTATCCGGTTCTAGTTGTCATAAGGTCAAGGTACAACTCCAATTCGTCCTGTTACTGAAGATCACGGCTATTCGAATAGATTAACTTCCCTGCAGGGGTGCACCACATTTCCCAACACGCTCGATCCCCTTTGTCCGGACACACTTTCCTGGGTCATGCCCGGCCTCGGAAGATCAACACGTCAGAGCCCTACCTGGGCACAACAGAGAGGTCAGCACGCCGGTCTAAATTCTATGGCGCAGAGGTCTGGGTCCATCGCCCATTGCACACTTGCACGTTGCGTGGGCGGCCGGAGAGCAGGCCTAGAAACCTCCATTACAAAGGAAGTTGCGTTACGCGGTCCAACCCGACGCGCGTCGCTCAGTCGCTGACGTTATAAAGGCTTCGGCTGATACCACGACGTCGAGTGCCCATAACGGTTCCCGCGTAGTTGGTTAGTGCGTATAGGCTAGTAGCCAGACTCGGATCAAATACCAAGATCTCGTTAAGCGTGTTATTTTGAAATAACCACGGACGCCGACCAGGGCCAGGCCCACCTCTCTCCTAGGTGGTCTCAACCTGCCCTGTCGCTCCGCCACAGTGTAACAGTCGGGGGCCTTCGGGAACTCAGGCGCACCTCTACCGGGATGGAGCCACCTGCCCTTTCAGCCCCCAACATCGGAATCACTCGCGGGTACTCCTACGAGCCGACCCGACTTTAGTCACCACATGTATCATGTAAAGTATATAAGTATATACCCGTGATCACCTCTCGAGTGATCACGGCCCGATAGTATAGCATGGCAGACTGATAAGAATGTAGGGCCACTGATGATAAACTAGCATCCTATACTAAGCATTTAGGATTGCAGGTAAGGTATCAACAGTTGTAGCAACAACGACAGGCTATGCATCAGAGTAGGATTAACAGAAAGCAGTAACATGCTACACTACTCTAATGCAAGCAGTGGAGAGAAGAGTAGGCAATGTCTGGTGATCAAGGGGGCTTGCCTGGTTGTTCTGGCAAGAGAGAGGGGTCGTCATCACCGTAGTCATACTGGGTAGCAGCGACGTCGGTCTCGTAGTCTATCAGAGAGAAGAGGGGGAAGAAACAATAAATATTAAGCAAACAGATGCATAGCGATGCATGACATGACAAGTAGCGGTGCTAGGGGTGCCCTAACGCGGTAAGAGGTGGTACCGGTGAAGCGGAGAAACATCCGGGAAAATATCCCCGGCGTTTCGCGTTTTCGAACAGACGAACCGGAGAGGGAAAGTTGCGTCTTCGCTATGCTAGGGATGCATGGCGGAAGAACGGGCTGCATATCCGGATTCGTCTCATCATTCTGAGCAACTTTCATGTACGAAGTTTTTTTCCATCTGAGCTACGGTTTATTTGATATTAATTTTAAAAGAATTAAATCATTTTTAGGATTTATTTAATTATTTTAATTCAACATTATCCAGAATAGTGTTTGCTGACGTCAGCATGACATCAGCAGTTGACCTAGTCAACCTGACAGGTGGGTCCCATTCATCATTGACTGTTTAGCCTAATTAGGGTTTAATTAACTTAACTAATTGATTAGATTAATTAAACATGATTAATTAACTTAATTAATTAATTCATTAATTAATTATTTTATTATTTTATTTATATTTTTTTAATAAAATGTTTTAGGGGACGTCCCCACTTGTCATTGGGCCAAAGGGGTTTACGGGCGTCGGGTGTAGAGGGCAAACGGGCGCGGGCGCCGGGTCGCCAGGACGTGGGCGAACCCGCCAGCCATCGTGGGAGCCCGCCGAGGAGGGCGTGGCCGCGGGCTAGAGGCGGGGCGGTGACGGCGGACCAGCTGCAGGGGGACGGCGTGGATGTGGCGCAGCCGGAGTGGGGCGAGGCGAGGCGTCGTCGCGGGCACAGGGGGCGGCCGAGCAAGGCTGCGACGCGGGTGGCCACGGCAAGGCATGCGCGAGCACGCGCGCGGCCGTGGGCGCGCACGAGGGGCGGCGAGCACAGCTACGGGGAGGACGACGTGCGCGGTGACCTGCGGGGAAAGAGGAGGGGAGGTAGCGGTGCAGTTGGCGCCGGAGCGGCTTCTGCGCGCGCGGGGGGGAGCGCGACAATGAGCGGGGTGCGACCTAGCGCGGGCTGAAGGAGCAGGCGCGACAAAGAGAACCGGGCGGCGCGCGGCGGCGGAAGGCCACGTCAGAGCGAGACGAGGAGAGCTGGGGGTGCGGCCACGCGCAGGGCGCGGGCGCTCGGCCAGGTCGCGGCCCTGGGGCAGCAGCCGCGGTGATGCACGGGGCAAGGCGAGGCCGGCGAGGCCAGCGGGTGGGCGCAGGCCGGGAGGGCAGCAGCGAGCAGGGCTTGGCCCGTGCAACGGCGCGATCGGGCGCAACGGATGGTGCCCGACAGGGGAAGAGGGGAGGCGCGGCGTCTCACCGGCGGACGTGGGGTAATGGCAGCGGGGCTCGGGGAGGAGGACGGGGACGACGCTCCGGCGTGGTGATGAGGTCCGGTGGCGCCGGGGACGGCTTCGGGCGACGGGTGGCGGCGCCAGGGGCGATGCGGTCGGGACGGCGCCAAGAGGGACGAGGGAGCGAGGTGTGGACGGGGCGACATCGATGTGGGGGAAGGGCAGCATCGGTGTGGTGCGCCCCGATCCCGACTGGATTGGAGGCAGAGGAAGAGTGGAGGGGAGTGCGTGAGCCCCGGTCCGATCTGGATCGGGGGGAAGGAAGAGGGGGAAAGTGGGTGTCGGTGGGGGTTAGGGTTTGGGTAGTAGGGGTTATGGAGGATTGGGTGGCCGGTTGGGCCAGCCTGGCGGCCAGGTGGGTTGAGGCCCAAGGGGGGCGCGGTGGCCAGCTGGGCCAGTTGGCCCAGTTGAGGGGGGGGGGCTTTCTCCCCTTTTCTTTTTTTTCTTTTAGTTTTAGTTTTTTCTGTTTTAATTCATTTTAAAATACTTAGG